TGTTCCTTTTTATGGATGGATAACATCCTATTATATGGATGTACAACATTTTGTTTGTCCGTTCATCAGTCAGTGGACATTTAGGTTGTTTATATTTTTTAGGCTATTGTGAATAATGCTGTTTAGAACATCCATTTACAGTTTTTGCATTGATGTATATTTTCATTTCTCTTGACTATATACATAGGCGTGAAATTGCTGGGTTTCGTGGTAACTATATGTTTAACATTTTGAGGAACTGCCCAAGTATTTTCCCAAAACGGCTGCAACATTTTCTATTTCCACCAGCATGTACAAGGGTTCCAATTTCTCCAAATCCCTATGAACACCTATTCATTTCCATCTTTTTGATTATAACTATTCTAATGGGTGTGAAGTGATCTCATTGTGGTTTTTGATTTGGCATTTCCCTAATGATCGATGATGTTAAACATCTTTTCATGTGCTTATTGGTCTTTTGTATATCTTCTTTAGAAATATTCGTTCATATCCTTTGCCCATTTGTTAATTTGGCTGTATTTTTATTGTTGAATTATATGATTTTTAAAAATATTTTCTTGAATATTAGACCCTTATCAGATATATGATTTGTACATATTTTCTCTCATTCTATGGGTTATCTTTTCACTTTCTTGATACTGTTATTTTTTTATTCTTTTTAATTTTCCGAAAGCAAGTTCGTTATATTTATAGTGAAATTCACTTTTCAAAGTTTCTCATCCCCTATCCCTTGCACCTTTGGGAACCATCAGCTCCTTCTCTATATCTATGGGTCTGTTTTTATTTTTATTTTGTTTATTCATTTGTTTTGTTCTTTTTAGATTGCACATATAACTGAAATCTTAACAGTATTTATTGACTTATTTCACTTAACATAATGTTCTTTGAGTCCATTCATATTGTCGTAAATGGCAAGATTTAATTCTTTTTTATATCTGAATAATATTCCAGTGGTGTGTGTGTGTGTGTGTGTGTGTGTGTGTGTGTGTGTGATATATATAGATATAGATATAGATCTATATATCACATCTTTATCCTTATCCTTTCATCTATTGATGAACATCTAGGTTGCTTCCATGTCTTGGCTATTGTAAATAATGCTGCAATGAACGTAGGTGCATATATCTTTTCAAATTAGTGTTCTCGTTTTCTTCAGATTAATACCAAGTAGTGGAATTGCTGAGTCATATGGTAGTTCTATTTTTAATTTTTTGAGGAACCGCCATACTATTTTCCATGGTGGCTGTACCAATTTTCAATCCCACTAACAATGCATGAGGGTTCCCTTTTCTCCACAGCCTCACCAACACTGGTTGTTTGTTGATTTATTGATGATAGCCATTCTGACAGGTATGAGGTGATATCTTCTTATAGTTTTAATTTGCATTTCTCTAATTAATGATGTTGAGCATCTTTTCATATGTCTATTGGCCATCCATAGGCCAAATGCCTATTTTTAATTGGATTGATTATCTTTTTGGTGTTAATTTGTATGAGTTCCTTATTTATTCTGGACATTAACTTCTTATTGAATATATTATTGGCAAATATCTTTTCCCATTTAGTTGGTTGTCTTTTCATTTGATTGATGGTTTTCTTCACTGTGCAAAAACTTTTTGATTTGATGTTGTCCCATTTATTTTTTCTTTTTTTCCCCTTGCTTGAGGGGACATAGCCAAAAAAATATTGCTAAGAAAAATGTCAAAGAGTTTACTGCCTATGTTTTCTTCTAGGAGTTCTATGGTTTCGAGTCTTACATTTAAACCTTTCATTCTTTTTGAGTTTATTCTTGTATATGGTGTAAAAAAGTGGTCCAGTCTCATTCTTTTTGCCTGTATCTGTCCAGTTTGCCCAACACCACTTATTGGATAGCTTGTCTTTACCCCATTGTATATTCTTGCCTCCTTTGTAATAGATTAATTGACCATATAAATGAAGGTTAATTTCTTGACTCTATTCTATTCCATTGATCTGTATATCTGTTTTTATGCCAGTACCATACTGATTTGATTATTATAGCTTTATAGTGTAGTGTGATATATCAGGGAGTGAGATATCTCCCACTTTGTTCTTTCTCAAGATTTTTGTGACTATTTGGGGTCTTTTGTAGTTCCATGCAAGTTTTAGGGCTAGTTGTTCTAATTCTAAGAATGCCATTGGTATTTTGATAAAGATTGCACTGAATCTTGTATACTGCTTTAGGTAGTAAGGACATTTTAACAACAGCAATGCTTCCAGCTCACGAGCAAGGTACATCCTTCTGTTTCTTTATGTCTTCTTCAGTTTCTTTCTTCGATGTCTTAGTTTTCTGAGTACCACTCTTTCACCTCTTTGGTTAAATTTATTCCTAGGTATTTTATGCTTTTTGTTGCTGTAAATCTTAATAATGTTCTTTGAAGCACAAAAGTTTTAATTTTGGTGAAGTACAATTTATTTTTAATTTGGATGCTTTTACTCATTTTTAAGAATTGTGATAATTATATAGATTTTTTTTCTAGCAAAATATAGTTATTCATTATCATCTTCCTTCCAAACATGACAGTTACTTTTATATGCTTTAATTATTCATTGAACGTCCCATCTTGACATGTTTGTTTGAGTTTGTTTCACTTTAACATTAAAAAATAGTTTTTCGAAGAAAATCAGTAGATAATTAAATTTACCAAAATATTTTATCAATGTTTGCTGATTATTTTTTTTAAAAATTTATCCCTTCCCTGCTAAAACATCTCTCCTAATAATTCTTTTAGTGAAGGTTTGGAAATGGTAAACTTTTAGTTTTATATGTCTAAACATGTATTTATTTTGCCCTTAAACTTGAATGGTAGTTTAGGTAAATATAAAATTTGAGGTTCATAGTTACTTGCCTTCAGCATTTTAAAGGTTTGGCTCCTTAATTCTGTTATTGCTGAGATGCCTGCTCTCACATTGTCATTCCTTTGTAATATTTTTACCATGGTGTCTTTTTAAGGTTTTTCTCTTTGATGTACCACAATTTTACTATGGTATATGTCGGTTTAAACTGACTTTTGTTTATCCTACCGAATACTTTTTATCTGAAGATTCATATATTCTTCTTTCTGGAAAATTCCCAGCTATTATTTCTTGGAATTGTTCTTACTATTATTTCATCATATACTATTATTTTATCATTTCATAATCTTACTATTATTACATCCTCAGTGGAGGATGTAAATCCTCTTAAGCATCCATTGCAGCCTCTTAATCTGACCCTTGGGTTCTCTGAACTGCTTTTTTATATTGCTTGTAGGTCTGGGTCTCTGTGTGTTGTCTTCCGGTCCTCAGTTCTACCTTTTAGTTTATTAATTTCTTCTTTGATAGTGTTCAGTCTAGAATTCATGCTGCTTATTGAGATTGTTTTTGTTTTAAATTGTAATGGTTATATCTTTTATGTCCATTTCTAAATTTTTATTACCAGCTATTCTCATTCAATTCATGCCTTTTGTTTTGTTTTGTTTCATAACGTGTTTTTTTTTAAATGGATATCACTCCTTTATTAAGGATTTTCTGATATCCTGAATACATTTATTTAAAATACTTTCCAGTATTTTATCATTGATTTCATCTGGAGTGAATTCATGTTCCTAATTGAAGAGTCTGTAGACACAGCGTGAGATTTTTTTCGTGCGTGGTGGAATTTTTTAATTTCAGGCTCAGTTTGAGTAAGAGGTATTTTTTCGTTTTCGTTTTTTTCTTACTTTCTCTCTTGACTAACTTCCCCTGTCTACTGGTTTTGGCTCCCTCTACTCCGGCCCCCACCTGGGACCAGGCCCTGTAATAGTGCTTCAGCGCCCTTGGCCCACGGCAATGCTGGGAAAACGTTTCCAGCCCTGGACTTAAGACCGTGTCTTGCTCCCGTCCAGACCCAGAGGCAGCTGTAAGCCCCAGCCCCGTGGTGTGCTGGGGACAGCACCTACCAGCTCCGAATGCGAGTTAGTAAGTATTAAGGAATTTTGTGAACTAGTTGTTAAACAGCCATTATTAAAAATTAAATTATACATAAACTCATCATTAAATAAATCATTTCAAAAGAAAAGGTAATAAATACTCGGAACTTACCGCTTTCTAGTTACGTGGTCACGAATCACTATCGTCCGTGCCCCCACGGCCGCTCCCTGCGCTTGCCGGCGGAAGCACCGCGTCACGGAGGCCCGCGGCATCTCTTCCCACTTCCGGCTCCGTGACGTCACGTGGAGACTTGAAGTAAACCGTGGCTATTAGGAAACATTGCAAATTACACCCCCCACCCTTTTTCCCTGGAGTCCTTGTTAAACGCAGCAGCGCAGCACTGCGGGCAGTGGGCATCAGCAGTCTTCTCGTCTCCTTCCATAAACAGGGGCCCAGGCTTGACTTCTTTGTCTTTCAGAAATTGCTTTCGGTCTCGATTATCTTCTAAAAGCTTAACTCCGGGCAGCAGTGTAACCCCACTCATTGCTCTGCCTTCCTGCTTTGCTCTTGATCCACAGATCTTTCTGTTTTGCTTCTGGTTCATAGTGCTATTTATTTGGTGTTGAGGATGCCTCTGTCCTTTGGCTTTTCTTTTTATGTTGTATCCATCATTGCTTTAAGTTTAGAGTGGAGGCTGTACATTAAATATTGAACATGCTGTGCTGTCTTGACTAGAACACCATAAACGTTATTTTTTGTAGACATATAACTTCCATCGTAGGGCTGCTTATATGGTCTTCGTAATATTTCCTTCAGGCTTCTTCATCCCCCCCAATCATCTTCTCTTCTCTGTTCTTGTTTCCTAGTACTTTCCTGTACTAGTCATGACAAATGCGATAACATATAGTATATATGAGTTATCCCTGAAAAGATTCTAGATGTCATATACGCTGCCCTCTTGTTTATTATATACTGAGTGATAGTATACATTTATTATAATAATATACTATTGTTCACAGAAATCATTGGTGCCCCAGATCACCTGAATGGAAGTCTTTGGCCCCCTAATGTTTTTTTTCCATTTCCCACAGGTGTCAAAGCTGTATTCTCAGGCCACTACCACAGAAATGCCGGGGGCACCTACCAGAACCTTGAAATGGTGGTGTCGTCTGCCATCGGATGCCAGTTGGGCCAAGACCCCCATGGGCTCCGAGTCGTGGTGGTCACTGCTGAGAAAATCATTCATCGGTACTACAGTTTAGATGAGCTGAGTGAGAGAGGAATAGAAGACGACCTGATGAATTTGTTGAAGAAAAAATGATTGCTGTTTATGGTCCATTCACTTTTCCTTCCCCAGTTTTTTCTCTTCATTTTGCCAGAAACAGCAGCTGCACACAACCACTTACTGAATATAAAAGTATACCAGGCAGATCTGTGAATTTATGTCCTTTCGCGTAAGTCAGAGAGCTGGGTCCGATCCCAAATTATATTTGAAAGAGAACTGCCTTCCCTTTGAAAAAGAGAAGGGGTGGGGTTGGAGGCTGGGAATAAAAGAATAAATGATAATGGAATATCTCTGCATGGGTGTCTGAGTGACTCTTCCTGTCGATGTGTTTCTCAGCTTTCTGGAGTTCTCTGCTTTTGAATTAGATTGTTTTCAGGTAGCACTTAGCGAAATGTTTACCAGCGGATCTCAATCCCAACTCGATATTCACGTGCAATCTTTGATAATTCCTCGAACAAACTGCATCTGAGCGTTTTAAATTGTGGTCATGGCTCCATACCTGGCAAAACAGAGGTCATCCCTTTTCTCTCCCAACAAGACAAACAGTGTGTGCCATGGCCAGAGCCATGTAGGCTCATTTTAACAAGGAGCCGAGTAGCCAACATGTGCTGTTAAATTCTGAGACTTCTATGATTGCTGATGGTGCAGTTGATACAAGTCAGAGCTTGAGTTGGCCCTCCTGGAGACTAGAAACGTCACCTTTGCACATAAATTAGCCATATGTAAAAATCTCATCCACGGGATTGGAAGCAGAGCCCTAAAGTCATTCGGCAGCTCGTCCCGAGTTCATTGCCATTCCCATTCGATGCTGCCGTAACTGCAGGTTGGTGCCCTCGTGCGGTCAGAATGACCCTCCATCCATGAGACTCTTTACTGTGTCCACTTGGACGGAAGAAGCAAGAATCGATGCAGAGTCTCACAAGCAAAAAAGCAGAAATTCCGGTGGGGTTTTTAAAAACTTCTTTCAGCCACGTTGTTTTAGTTGGTGCCAACTCCGATTAAATTCACCAGTGCAGTGGAGCGTGGATGGTTAAAGTCAGCATTGTTTTCATACAGTCTGCTTTGCTGCGTCTTCTTGGCAACTCCCGACCACAGTGTCATTTCACCCATGTCGTCTTTTTCAGCAGTCATCCTGGTGGACAAGGAGCCTAGGTATTCCCAATCCTGCCAGAACGTCTCACAGCGCCACGCAATAGCATTCAGTCATCTTAAAACACCAGTAACAACCGACTGGGTACCGATGAACTGCAAAGTCCATTTAAATTAAGACTTTCTTGTGAAAAAGTTGTAGTCGACATAGCAAAACCACGAGAAATTAAATAGGAAGATAATTGGATATGTAAATTCATAAAGAACAAAAGACAAGAAGTTAATTATACCACCGATGGTGACATACCGTAGCTCATTGTTATGCGGCACAGGAAGATTAAAATTTTTTCAAATTAGAATGCTCTTTAGTGTTTTGCTGCGTTCTTGCTTTGTATTCATTTTCCTTTACAACAGGTGTGGATATAAGTTCAAGAAGAGGAAGTCAGTAAGTGGCATCATAAGTAATAAGCCACATGTTTGCTGCCTGGGATATCGTAACACTGAGGGTGAGCTGCCACCACCGTGTACCAGGATCATAAACAGACGTGGAGCTCCGGGGGGCGGGGGGGATCGGCAAGAGTTCGGTCACTGTGGCCTGATGGAGCCATCTTTGTCGCGTACGTGTGCAAATTGCTTTGGACTGTGGCACTTGAGTTTTGGAGAGGAACCAGAGATAATTAACAGCAATGGAAATGAACCTCACTAAGTCTTCCCTAGAAACCTCGGAAGTAAAAGAACTGATTCAAAACTCAGCAAGAATATGCTAAGAATAGGGAGTCATATGAAATTTTAAAGTAACCAAACAGCAGTATTCCCCAACGGTAAGAGCATTTAAAGTGAGGAAATGATTTTGTAGGTAAACATGGATTATTCTGATAATAGATAATTACCAATGCATTCACTTATGAGTCCTTTAAAAAAAAAAAAAGTTTAAAAAAAGTGCCTCATACTGTGAAAAAACACTCTT